AATTTTGCATGTGATGTTATTTAAATTTCTATAGATTAAATAGCAAATTACAGCTCTGAACTAATTGTGGTTTCTGATTTACAGGTGTTAAAACTGAGTCAGGTCTGAGTTTTTGCATTTGAAAGGACACACACAATGGGACTTTTGATCAAATGAAAGTAACTTATAGTGATAATTTCCCATTAAATAACCTTGTAAAAATTTTGCAAGGTCATATAATGGCCATCATCACCATAAGTTGCTTTAATCTCATCAAGTCTCCCGTGGTGCGAGTCCTTTCCAATAGAAAAACCGGATCGCTGCTCGACACTCAAAAGGCTCCATTTCAGACTTTACTCAGTTCAAACACCTGTAAATCAGAAACCACAAATAGTTCAGAGCTGTAATTTTCTACCTAATCTATAGAGATTTGAATAACATCACATGCAAAATTTCAGCTCAATCAAACATCTGGAAGTGGGCCAGGGGCATTATTTATTGAACAAACCTCGTATATGGAGTTACAGAAAATATATTTGGTCTATTCTCTTTTATCTTTTGATTTAGCACCCATATGTGCTTCTTAATGAGTTGTTTTGCCTTTTCTTCAGCCAAGCAGCCTTTTATTTTTCTCTTATTAGGAGTATGTATTTAAAAACATGTTTATTTAACCTAAACTCCTCTAAGACTGTGGTGAGGTAAATTTAATGAGCCACTGGAAGCGCTTTCACGGAGTGGGTGAAAACGGTGCTTTGAGGATCCGAAGTTGTGCTCTGACAGCTCTGATCTTTTAAGCTGGACAGCAGGATGTATGTTTCAGCTCAGGGTACATCATCGTTGGACAGTATCCAACTTAGAAAGCTGCACTGAACTTTTAGCAAATAAATCAAACTGTGACATTTCTCAGAACTTAGTTCCATCCTTTAAAAAAGCCATCGACGATTCATCTACATACAGAAGATTACGCAGAGATTAAAATTACAGTCATTTATTTACTATGGATTAACTGGAATAGAAGACAGCTAATTGAATAAATACACAATTTTCCCAGCGTCCTGTTGATATCTGATGTTTTTTTTGTTTTTCCTGGTAGATTGTGGTGAATTTCTCATATTACGGTTAGTCTCTCAGTCTATTTCCGCTAAGGGGATGAATAACTCATGAGAACTTGGCATTTCACTGCTTGGATTTTCACCTTATCTCATTACCAACATCCACTGACCTTTACATAAGGAATGGTAAACCACGTCAGCTCAGAAACAGAAGCATAAACGGAAATACCGTCTGTGTAACACTTGAAGAATATAAAATAAAACAGCATGAAAATAAAAGCAGATAGAAAAAGATAAACTTTTCTACCTAATAGCTTTACTCATACTGCAAAATGAGAGATTTTGTGTCAGTATAATAAGTGATGCATTCCACACTATGGGATGATGAATCGTGGCTTTTTTCCTGATATAATATCTTAATCCAGTCCACTTTGGATTAGTTAAAGTGGGTGATTATTCTGTCCTCAGTTTCTCTTTTCCTCCCTGTTTCTCTATTTTTATTTGGTTCAATTTATGTAAGTCATTGCTTATTTTGCAAATTAAGCTAGTTATAGTTTTACTCAATCCTAAAAAGGGATGTGAGTCAACATTAACTCGATACACAAGGGTTCAGAAAAAAATATTGCTAATTTTAAATGGTAGAAATCTGTTAAATGCTCAATTTAATGTTTATTAATTATTCTCAAAGGGTTTTGAATTGAGAATATTTACAGAAAATAAGTCTTTGTCATGTTAAATGCAAGATGTATATAGTTTGTTGTACATTTTTAGCTTTATTACCTTTCTGGGTTGGTTGTTCTTTTAGCCAGAGCTGCCAATATGTCAAAATGTTTTAAATATTCTCTTTTTTTTTTTTTCTTTTTTTTTTTTCAAAAGATCAGATTTGATTGTTTATACTACAATGGTCTATGTTACATTATAATGATATATTTACTCATGCATGTAAGATATATTTCAGCCATGTTTATCTATGGCTCTTTGTTTAAAAAAATTTAAATTTGCCTTTTCTTTTGTCATAGAAAGGCTTATATACAAGTCAACAAGTATATCTGATCAGTGATGAATCATAATGCATAGATGTAGATTAACAGCATACAGCTGTGATGTAGGATCCCTGTAATATTTAACAGCAAGCCATGTTTGGCGTTGAGGTTCCATCTCTCAGGTCTTGGTCCTCTGAATCATAGCATCCATCTTTTAAGGGTTCTTATGTGGGTCTAACCCCAGCTCTATGCGCCGCCAACACCTGCCAAACATTGATGTATTGGCTTTTCTAAACAACCGTGGATCCATGTCTGCGTGTTCCTGTATGGTTTGATGATATTAGCTGCTAGGGCCGCTGTGTGAGCTGCAGCAGAGCAACATTTCTTCACAGCCAACAGAAAACCAAAAGAGCGACAGTGTGAGCTGCCTCTCAATAAGCCTACCTCTTTAGAAAGTCTTAGCCCTGCTTGTTTCAGTTCCCACCCATTCCCTCCTCATTCCAGTATTCATGGGGGTTTATTCATCTTCACCCATCTGCTAGAGTCCATGTAATTTTCTCTTTTGTGCCTTATTTATAATGAAGTGTCAGGCTGAACAAATGAGCTGTTTTTGACTTCAGCAGGTCGTAGGGGAAGGTAATTTATTGTTACTCAGTGGAATAATGGTACCAAGTTCGATAGGCTTAAGTTATAGTGCAGTGTCATGCTAATTTGCCAACTTGATGTCCTCATTCGCTCTCACAAGCATGAGAGAGGCACTTAAATCACTGTCCGGAGCTGGGAGAGAAAAGCCGACATGGTGGACACGACGCTCCGTCAGCCAGGCCCATTAGATGTTCTCGTGGAGGTTATTTAAAATTACATGATTTCTACACCCTCTCTTCTGAATAACTCATGGGCAATGATGAGGATGGAGAAGATTGCCTGACATCTCAACTTTATATGCAGTAGTGAACATTAGAAATGACTCCCTAGAAATGAGAGAAATAAAAACATAATCTTTAAAAATAAGGAGTTATTTAAGCTGATGTTTTTTTTTTGTTTATATTATTGAAAATTAAAATCCTAATTATAAACAATTAACCCAGAGTGGGGGAAAAAAAAGACCAGCACAAACTGAAGGTTTAAACAGTTCAGCCAGCTGCTGCCAAACGTTTCTTAGCAGGATGTGACATTATGACTCTGACCTGAACACAAACAGACAACTAAATAATTCACATGAGCAAAAATGTATAGAGTGGAAAAGGGAAAAATTATAGAAGTAGCCCCTGTTGAGGTTGTCAGACAACTACAGTAGATGTGCTCAAATCGGCTTTTAGTAACAGTGAAATTCCCAATATTGAGGAAAATTCTAAGTTAAGAATCATAATAATAATATTGGGCCTGATCCACAGCGGCAGATCGATTTTGTCTATTTCTACGATGAGTTAATGTTAAATTCAAAATCTCTAGAACAGTAGAAAGGTTTACCTCTTCTGAATCCATAAAGCTGCATATTTATTTTCAGAATAGAACGGGTCCTGTTTACATGAATTACCTGATTTTATGACTCGCTTTTGCTAATCGTAAATGCCTTTTGGGTTATACTTGTGTGCATTCTTACATAATGCTTGCAGACTGGAGATAATGACAGTCTAGTAAAAAATCTACAGTAATGATGATCGTTAAAGCAAACAGAGCTCTGGTATTAGAAAGGTATTGCTATCTGCATACGTCCAAATTCAGGCATTGGAGTTGGATCAGAGGTGAAAAAAATGTAGATTAGTGCATCTAAAAACAGAGATAAGCCTATATTAATACAAAATGTCACACTTTTAAAGGATTATTAGGTTATTTAGAGAAAAATAAGATCCATCTTGAATATAAGGCTTCGATTGTTTGCTAGGTCAGACCCGTTCAGCATGGACGAGCTGGATTTCACATCTGCCAAACAGCACAGGAACTGCTGACCTAAAGTAAATTCAGTAAAATAGGCTATAGACTTATAGATGCATCTGCGCTGAACTACTGATGTGTTAGTATGCGCATCAAACAATGGTTTAGTCGTAAAGGTTCAAATAAAAGGGCTATTTGAAAGATCTTTTCAAATATATTTTATATTAAAAACGTACAAAATACCCTTTTAAAATATTATCTCACTTTTTGAATCAGATTTAAAATAAGTTGTCATTTTGTTCAGTTTAACTGGTCGATTCTTCTGGGGATGTAGAACCTGCCTGACAACATGAAGTAGGCTTAAACAGCAACGCATCACAGATCAATCTGAAGAAATCTTAAGAATTAAGAAAAGAAGCTTTTATTAGCCTAATTCTGTTTTAAACATCTCCACAACTTTATCCCTAACCTGTCTGACAGCATCATAAAAGGACTTTATGATGCTGTTTGCACCCCGATATTCTCTAACCAGACCTCTGAGGCCCTGACAGAGATCACACACGCAGTGGGACTCTTTTCAGTCATTAGCAATCATAAAGCTACTTCTGAGGGCGGTTGGTTGTAGTCGGTGAAAAGGGGGCTGAATACTTTTTCACACTGCATTTTATTTAGTTTTTGAATTGAATTTTTTTTCTATATCATGTACAATTTTCGTTCTAATTCACAATTCTATACGACTTTGTGTTGATCTTTCACAAGATTCCACGTAAGATTAATTTCTTTTGGTCGTAATGTGACAAAATATTTAAAAGTTCGAGGGTTACGGAAACTTTTGCAAGCTGCTGTATAAAAGTGGGAAAGATGTGAGACTAGGAACAAGAGCTAAAAAGGGGAAGAAAATTTGATTTTTTATGACTTCTTCAATCTTTTGATGATTCCTGCAGCTAAACCAATATGTGTGCTGATATATAAAAGGCTGTGATGAGTTACCCGCCTTCTCCCAGCTATTCAACCAAACAGAGGCTTGTTTTCATGTAGAACCGGCGGCAAAAGGCAAATATACAACCGTACGTAGTCAAGTCTTAATCTAGTTTGCATGAATTCTTTGCAGGTAGTTGGAGGCTCGGGTCGTTTATACACTTGCTTCTTGTCCTGCCACTACTGCCCCTGCCCGGCTTTCACCTATACTGTTCTACGCAGAAACCAAGGGCTGCTGGTGAGTTTCCCAAAAAAGGGTCAGTTACACAAATTAGTTGAAAGCAAAAACACTAATACCTGTAACTCAATATTACAGGTATTAGTGTGTTATTTCCTTACCATACTCGAGAGATATTAAGAATTTATAAATACTTTGAATAACTAGTGAGTCAGCTCATCAATATTCCTGCACCTCTGTTTCTAAACATCCAATGCATGTATTTATAAACAAACATTGCAAACATGAAGCTGTCTCAGCAGGCTGCTCCTTTTAACAGCAGCACCTGGAGCCAAAAGTGGCATATGCCAGTTCCCAACTGGCATATGCCACTTTGCGAACCAGTTTATGCCAGTTGGGGAATGGCTTTTCCCACCGGATTATGCCAGTTAAGAACCAACTTATACCAGTTGCAAACCGGCTTATGCCAGTTGGGAACTGGCATATGCCACTTTGCGAACCAGTTTATGCCAGTTGGGGAATGGCTTTTCCCACCGGATTATGCCAGT